GGCGGTATTGACAACTGGCAGTTTGCTGGCAAATCATAAAAGAGGGCTATTAAAGAAATATTTCTAAATTATTAATTTAAATAATTCAATACCGAATCGAGAAGGGCGTAGCCGTTGTGATTCCGAAGCAAGTTCTAGACGTCTAGCTACCTCTAAGATGCATCGTTCTTGCTCTTATTATTGGTTTCATGCTGTGCTGGCCATCCAAACGAAACTACCTGTACAAGGCGCGATGTATATAACTATAACTCTTTAGGCGAAAGCGATAACTCTTTAATGCAAGGTTGTCATTGCCGATTGTAAATGATCAAGGGTGTTTTTATGCAGCCTTTCCATTGTGTAACAGCTGTGATACCTATTTTGTGGTTTCCAAAATGAATGCCACACTGCGTTGCTGGCAAAACCTCGAAACACGTTTACTGTGGGTAATGGTGTCGGCGAACTTCGCACCAAATTCGTTCAGGCGAGATGCAGCATTAATCCATGAATATATGAAGTTCATTCAATGTCATGGTCTGTTATTTTGCCAAGAAGTCGGTCTAATGTCATTTACGTGAGTGAAATCAAGAAGACCTTTCTAGACTTACGGTTATTCGCTGGTGACTGATGGGAGGGGCGTATACCCTAGGTGAATTGAATTGTGGGCAAGATAGATGTTGCAGACAAGCGCCAGATTGAAGATTCCACAAGGAGGCTCTGACGTTGCGACGACGGTACTAAATGAAGTTCGCATGAGATATGATGGATATGTACACCCTCTTCATAAATAGTAAATAAATGAATCATTACTTTGTGAACGTGACAAGGTGTATATGGTGGAATATCATGTATCACTGTTTCATTGAGGCCAACTGAGTTAGAACAAAGGCGATACATTTGGTGGCTGTGGATGCAATAGAATGGTTGTCGAAACATAAACATAAAACAACTATATGAATCGATGGTTGCTGTGCCATACGAAACAAGACCATGTTATACATAAAATGTTAAATCAAAATATTTTTCTACTAATGCCCCATTTGATCCTTAGGCTAACTGATAGCATAGTACACGTACATTCACATAGTCGACAGCAAATAAAATGCCGTCACCGACTGCCACATCAGAAACAAAGTGAGTTTGGTCGCCTGTGAGCGATTTGAGGAACTTCAGATTTTCGTCGTAAACGTCGAATTCGCCTGTGTATCGGTTGGCCGTATAAACGTACCGTTTGTCATCGTCGAAGGTTACAGCCAACCCGCCACCGTAACGTCGTCGTAAATCGTATGCAGCGCTGACGATGATGTTTCGCTTCAGATTCAATGCCAGCAGCTGTTCGCAGCTTATGTACAACGTATGTTTGTAATATTTGATAAAACTGCAGCTCGATCGACTGTTTGCTTGGAAACGTAGAACGTCTGTGTTATTCAAATCCCTGTCATAGACGTGTACCAGGTGGTCGTTTTTGGACAGTACGAAAACATGGTCTTCGGGAGTGACGGCGATGCCTCCTGGAACGACCTGACTTTTCTGTTGCACGATGGTATTCGACGAAGGTACGTATTTAAGAATGAAACCGGATTTGCTGCTGGTAGCTACGATGCTGCCATCGGACAGCACGGCGATATCGTAAATGAACGGACCAAACGACGTTATTACTTTAACGACATTTAAACGTGGAGTGGAAAAAACGACAATTTTGCCACTACTGTAAGAAGCCACGTATAGCCTGTGGTTCCGAAATGCTATTCCGATGATTTTTCCATATTTGATCATGTCCACCTGTTTGATCGTTGTCATACGTTGCGCCATGGGATGTTCATAACTGCTGGCATTTCTAACGATTAGCGATACCTTTTGTTTCTCATATGCCCCTATGTAAGTGTGGTCTTCGGCAGGGAGGTTAACATTTGGCTTTACATTAACAGAAGATTGTTCGAATAAATCTCTGGAATCCGAGTTGATTTCGCTATCATCCAAAGCGGTCGCTTTTGACTTCCCAGAGTCCTCAGGTATTCTGGAAATTTCTGACAACACGGATGCCCTGCTGCCCTCTATAATCACATGTGTAATCTGTTTGCTTTCTTGATCGACACGGATGAACTGCTAGGTAACAACTATAATAATCTGATAAATGTGATCAGAACGTAATATCCGCCTAACTGGGATCAGATCGTATTTTCGCGACTACTAAATCATTAGGGCGACATTAGGCCGAACATTTTTTCGCTTCATTACTATATGGGCAAACAAAATATTCATTTATTAAAACAACAAAACTATTAAATGCCGCGCCTCGATATTAGAGAATTGCGCGGAACAGCATTCTCTATCTGATGAAGCTCGTATGAATTATAATGGCTCGTGTCGCAGCACTGCACTTTCTTATTTCAAATCACGTTTTATGGTATGTCTCCATGAAAATAAACATGGCCCAAAACTGCAGAATATGTATATAATAAATTGGATATACATTGTCGTCTTGGAAAGGATTTTTTGTTTGAACAGAAAAACTCAACTTTCAAATTTTAAACCCGAAACAGGATAACTGGCTGTGAACACGTCAGTATGTTCTTATCAGATGAAAGCCACTGTCTAGCGTTCAGTTATAAGGGGTTTTCTTACTGTTGCTTCATGAATGGTTATGAAGATTGAATATTTTGTTCATACGCTGATCATATTGAAAACTATAAAAGTGATTTATTTATACACAACACAAACAAACAAGTTAGCCAATCAGGTGTCTGACCGGTACCGACGTTTCGGCACGTCTCGCGTAGGCCTTCTTTAGGGTGGTCTGGGTTGATTTCCGCAGTTGGTTATGTGGTCCGCAACTGCTGTGGTATTCCTGCGAAAATGTCAACCATACAAAGGGACAAAGGATACGAACTGTACACCGATTGGCCAAGCCTTCTCAGCACCGTTGCCGAATGCCTACTTGACCAGCAGCATGGGCGTAAAGCGCACCTTTAGCTCCAAACACCACAACAGACCATAGAACCAACTGCGGAAATCAACGTACACTGCTCTGAAGAAGGCTGAGCCTAAACGCCGTTACTGGTTAATCACCTGATTGGCCAGCTTGCTTGCGTTGTGTATAGATTGTTTTTATCCATTGTTCACCTTTCATAAATGGTCATAACGATAAACTGCATAATCTATTTCACCTATCT